GTAGCCAGAGCCAGAGCCACGGCCACGGCCACATACCAGGTAGCAGCCATGGCGGGCTACGGCCCAGCACAGCCGGTGCAGAACCACTGAGAGGGCTGGACATCAGCTGCTGACGACGTACGTCATGGCAGGTCATAGCAGCTGCCCGCCACCAGCCACCACCAAACAGGCTGAGCTGACACAGTGACAGCCCACTGGGCTTCCGAGGCGGTGTCCAACTCGCCTTTCTTCGCGCTGCCAAAGCAAGGTACTCATTGGATAAGACGTATTTTCTCCCTAATTGAAGCCTAAATGCACTGCCTATGATACGAGGAATCGCCAGCAGAGACATATTGTCCCTGCTGAAACTCCGAGTATGTAGGGCATGGGAGCTAGGACCAACCCCCGCCTGGAGCCAGGGACCATCGCCCACCTTCTAGGAAAATGCGGCACGTCAGAATGTCCAGATGCTGAATACCCAGACTCTCGCCCTGCCGTATTGCGTAATGAGACAATTATACATGCATGTGTCTTCACTATGTCGGTACTCGGCCAATCTTATTCAAATCATTCCCAAATGTCTAAACCTAATGCGCAGGGATGGGAAATCTTCCAGCCCAAGACCAGCGATCAGTCTTGTAATCTAGGTAGGCACATACCTACCTACCTGTTATGAAAGGATGATACCTGCAATGCCACCACGGTGCTCAGGAATTTGCCCCAAAGTCCGGTCCCATGCAATACATGGCCAACCTCCGAGCAAGAAGTCGCTGTTTCTACTTAATACGGTAATCATGTGCCGAAGTTAGCAACGTGTGCGTAGTGGCTCAGCCGTTGATCGCCCCCAACAGGCGCTGGAATACCAGTTGAGTCCTGATGTGGATAGCCAGTGTGGCTTGCTGGGCGCGCAATTAGACTGCTGAGAGGCAGGATTATGAAAAGCAATAACAATCCACCAAAGTTCTCGCTGAATACAGGGTTCTAGACTGCTTACTATTCTGAATGTTCTCTGTCATAGGCTGTGCTTCTGTCTGCGTGGATGATAAGCGCTTGTCTCTGGTTACGAGCATCCGCAACTATAAACACGTGCTAGCAGCCAATATATCAGGGCAGGGCATGCTAATCCCAGTTCGTTATACATTTGGTAAATTACTTTAACCAGCGAGCAGAGATATTGTTAAAGCTCGGCTTATCGTCTGATACTTACTTCTAGCTAGGTAGCTTTAGTGAGAGATCTACTGTCCTGGCTGCGCCTTGGTGTCCTGCGCATATCCTGATGCAGAGACTCGCTGCAAGCTAGCCACCTAGCCACGCCCGATCGTTTCAAAATGTTCCCTTTATTCGAGAACACCTATATAGCAAAAATGTATAGCACCTCTATTCTGGCGGGCTGAAGAACTTGAATACATTTGCTCGCTATAGGGAACGTCTTAAGTCGGAGTGAGATGCATCACCCCGAAGTGAAGTTGATTGACGTTGATGCAACCTAAAAGCAAAATGGCCAAAAAATAACTTTGCCCCCACACAGAATTGAACTATGGATCTTCGCATTACAAGTGCGACGCTTTACCACTAAGCCATAGGGGCTTTGGCAAGTTATTTATGTCAGCACGGTTCATCGAATGTACTAAGAACCACTGGACGCGTGGTCCGCAAATGGTTCGCAAAGCAACCTTGAGGGCATTGAGTGGCGTGGTTGTATAACGTATTCGAGTGGTGGTACTACTAATGCAATGCGTGTTGGTCCTTTCCGGCTTCCCCGATCCTATTGCAGTCATACGCAGCCTGACAAACAAGCTGTTTTGCTTTGGATATAGCAGTCACAGATGTTCAATAGCTCGAAGTTCGGCCGCTGTTTATTGAGAGATCTTAGCGTCTACCTACCCGTCTCTATTCCGCGATCTCTCCACTGTATTTACAGCTCTCCCGTCAGCTATACTACCTATGAAGGTGGTAGCTTTGATCCATCCACTAGAGCTGTTGGCCGCCAAAACAAGGGGCTCGGGGGCCATTCTTCTTTGCTTACACCACCGCCCTCCTCAGCCACCAACACCATGTGCAACAAGCCGGTTGAACCGGTGAGGCTGTTATGATCTGTCGAAAAACCGCGTAACACCGGTCATGAGTCCATGTCCATCACGGGCCATGTGCCCGGCTCCTTTATTCGCATGCTCTTTCAATTTTCCAGGGTCTTCCCCTTTGAGCAGGGGACGAACGTACGGGAGGCCAAAGGCCCAAAGGCAGTCGAAACATGTGAATATCGCGTAAGAACATCAGCCCCCAGAAGACCTGCACACGAGGCTGTTGGTCCAGTGTTGCATCCGGGGATCGGACGCACGTACATACAACCATGTCAGATTTTCTTTTTCGAGGCGACTACTCCTGCAGTTAGGCGCCGGCCCCAAATGCCGCCAGAGCTGAGCTGAGCTGAACCTGGTTCGACAAGCCACAAGAGGGACTGCGGCTCATTTTAAAGTGAGGTATACCCTGGCTTAAATACTGCGATCAGATCCCCCATCGGGTGGCCCTGGAAATAAAAAATAAAAATTCTTGGAATTGGGTATTTCCTGCTTCACGACCTCAATTTATCCAACGCTTCGCCATGGAGGAGGTCTACAACACCCTCACCCTCACAGGGGCCAAATGGTGGGACCTTCAGCACTCCCCCAACGAGGAAACATTCAAGGCGACGCAGTTCTGGCTGGACCAAACCTCCAAAGCCGTGCGGGTGGAGATCCAGACGGTCGAGCCCGCCCAGCGAGACGCATGGCTGGAGCGGCGGACAGACGATGAGGGCCGAACGCTCATCGCGCGCTACGTCTGGCTCAGCGCGACGGGCCCCAACAAGAACGAGATCAACCTGACAAAGGCCGTCCAGAGCACGCTCTGCGAGCGGTTCGGTCTCAGGACGGCCTACAAGTACTTCCACACCTTTGTCAGCGGCGTGGCCTCGCTCCCCCGCGAGACCACGCCCGAGTTTGAGCGGCAGGCCTTTGCGTTCTGCTTCGGGCCGAAGCTCGCGGCCATCTGGTCGCACAGGCTGTCCAGGACGTCGACGGATGATATCACCGAGGGCATCATCTTCACCCAGGGCGATGCCGTGCAGCAGAAGTACCTGCAGTATATCTCCAAGATTCCATGGAACCACGGCATCTGTCTCTCGTCTGCGTTCCTGGCATACCTGTTCAGCATGGTCCTCTGCTCAGAGATTGACGCCCTGCAGAAGAAGATCCTACAGGACGTGAAGGAGATTGAGGGCGAGACTGGTTTCCACGGCTTCGCCGAGCGCAAGAAGAAGCTGGAGCAGGGGAGATCGCTAGCGACCGAGGCGATGGTAGAGATGTCAGCAAAGGCCAGCGGATTCACAACCAAGCTGGCGGGCACGGGCAGGAAATCCGACATGATCGAGCAGCTTCTGGAGCTGATGCTGAAGAGAGCCTCCGAGGACCGCGCCAACCGCGAGAGACTGGCATCCGGGAGGAAAGCAACAGAGGACGAGCCGGATGGAGGCCCAATATTGGATGCTCATGTTGAAGTCATGCGGCAGAGGATGAAAATGCAGGGCTCCGAGACAAAGTACATCCAGGAGAGGGTCCAGATCCAGATTTCAGCGGTAGGTGATGGTGTTGTGTTTTCCATTTTGATGTTGGAGGCTAACCTGATCTTGTTCAGACTTTCCACACCATTTCGCAAAACGATACATTGGCCAACTTGGAGGTAGCCGAAGAGACCAGCCAGATCGCCTACTACAGCTACCGCGACGCCTCCTCAATGAAGACCCTCGCCTTCGTCACGATGGTCTTCCTTCCCGGAAGTTTCATCTCCGCGCTGTTCTCGACGCAAGTATTCAATTGGGAGACGGGAGACGGATTCGGTGTCGGTGTGAACCCTCGGTTCGGACTGTACTGGGTCATCACCATCCCGCTTACTCTGATAGTCTTCCTGCTCTACTATGTATGGATTGGGAAACTGAAACGCGACGTGGACAAGAGGAAGAGGGACAGAGAAGAGAGGAGGAAATCTCTGACCGAACATCCAGATGCATCTTCTTCGAGCTACTCTGTTCATGTGCCAGGCAACAGTAGGAAGGGGAGAGCCGCGACCTTTGCCGATCACATCAAACTGAAGAGGATGAGAACGAGAACTAACAGTGGACACGCAGAAAATGGCTCGAACGCTGTTTGATGAATGAATGCTGTTTAATAATTCTAATGAGTGTCAATGCTGTATCTATGGCCCATGCGCCTCCTATAAAGAGGGAATAACAAAGAATACTACTATTATGATGATAAGAACAATGAAACCCCAAGTCTACACGATCATGCCTTCATTTCTCGCTGACTTTCAACCATGCAATGAAAGTCAATCTAGTTGATGCCACAGTCGCTAAGGCCAACCTGGGAGGCGGTGGCCTCGATGCGGCCGAGCTGCTCGGCCTGGCCGTTGGTGAGGCGGTCGAGAGCGGCCTTGGCGATGTTGTAGCCGGCGCTGGCGGAGTCAATGGCGAGGACGTTGATGCTGTTGCCGTTGTACTCGAGCTTCCAGCAGGTGCCGCACTGGGGAGAGTTCCAGCCAACACCCTGCAAGCCACCGATGTTGGAGAAGGTGGGGATCTGGCCCTGGGTGGTCCAGCCGTAGCGGGTGATCAGACCGTTGGCGCCATCGGAGCAAGTGACGGCGGTCATGAGGCGGTTGCCGTCATCGTAGCCGGTGTCGTAGGAGACTGCGGGCAGCTTTTGTTAGTATCATTCGTCACACTTTGTTGCAAGATGCGAGGCGTAGAAGCGTACCTGTGACGGCAGAAGCGGCGGCAGCAAGGCCGAAGAAGGTAGCAATGGTAGAGAACTGCATCTTGATGGGTTAAGGAGAAGAGTTGATTGTTTGACTGAAGCTGGGTTTGGTGAAGAGCTGAGTTGAGGAGATACTGGTTTGTATTGAGAGTTGATGATGGTGATATCGAAGAATCTCCTTCAGTTTCAAGCGGCCGGCTTGCTCTCATTTATACTTTGATGAAAGCCGTGATGACCTACCTGCCCGGCATCTTGTTTCCTTCTCGGGCCTGGGTAAGGTAGTTACGTTACCCCGTCAGCTCTCATCACTGCCCCCAGCAGCATAGGCAGGAGCGGAGAATATCGTATTCTGTCTCTGGCGGCTGCAAGCTCCCGCGGGGGGCGCGATGACGCTGCTCATCGCCGAGAAGGGCAAATCACGCGTCTGGTCTTTCCCAGTCGGCGGAGTGAGCGTGACCACAAACCTCGCCGTGCAAGTACTAGAGCCGAAGCAGAGTCAGACGGGCCTCAATGCATAAAGGCTCTCCTCGTATTCTGCAGGGCACAGCGTCGTTCGAGGAATCCACTCAGTGTCCGCCGAGTGGGCTATATCCCATGTGTTGGATGAAGTCCTCAGCAAGGCTTCCAAATACCGAAAGTAAGCCCCCCGGTTTCCCGGATAGCAGTGGGCATCACCATCTTCGTCCGGGGCGCCGAGGCGTGGGATCCACTACATGACATGACATTACATGGTGCATGGTCGCATATGTAAGGGATGGTTGGGCTTGTGTGGGTGTGTGGCAGCAGAGGAGGTAGTGCGCAGGGTCAAACTGTCACTTGGGCGTGTCGTATTGAGAGCGCCGATCACTCAAGTGAGGTTCCTCGTATTTGACTGATGCGGAGCTGCAACGGGCCTTGGGATCCCCGTACGCCGGCATGCCGACCCGGTTGTGGCTGCGATCTACAGGTGGAATTGCCGACGACGGTTTTGGCATTGCCCAGCCTGGCCTGGCCTGTTTCTATTCTTCGATGCCCGATGCCTTCGCCCCGGCAATAAGCTTAAGCCTGCAAAGGGCGGTGGGTTTTGGACCGTCACTCGCAAACGAATTGGCGATTCCATCTGGCCTGGTCAGAGCGACCCTGGTGATACGAAGGGTAAGACCCAAGCCTTTGCTAGCTGGAAACTTGACACCGCCATGGAATAGAAATGACTTGTATTGCACCGAGAATGTTGCCATGATGGTTTTGATTATGGACTTTGGTAAGCTACGTGGACCCGTTGATGGCGTTGGGGTTTAAGAAAGAGCCGAGTTAGTGTGTTAGCTTAGGAAGTGTCGTATTCTTCACTGCTGGGGTGGAAACTGGGGTCCTTTAACGTGAACTATTTTGAGCACCCTCGGTGAAAATGAAGAGAGCATGAAAGCAGAGGAGAGCAAACGAGAGATATCGTATAATATGGGCAAGCTCAAGCGAGATTCTGCAGAGAACCGACGGAAACAGCCCAGCCACAACCGGGCGCGTGGTGTTGTGCAAGGGTAGCACATGGCCGAGAAGAGGCTGCCCGTTTAGGTCCTGCTCCCTGAAGTTAGCGCACCGGCTGGACTCACTGGCTGGCGGGCAGCCCCGAGACATCGACATCGGCCGAAGTAGGTATGACGAGCGAGACATGCAGACTCCAGGCAGAAGAATCATGCCGTTTGAGACGAAAGCAAGGCCAGAGGTGCAGGTTTGAGTCGCAACTGAAACCAAAGAGAGCATGGCATTGCAGCGATCCAAGAATGGCCGTCGTAATCAAGCCGCCGGGTAGGCCAGTGCCAGAAGTAGAAAGAACGGAAGGCAGGCAGTCCGTGTACCGGATTCTCAACGTCCAGCTCTTAGCGAAGCATTGAAAAAAGCCTGCGCTGCATACATATAGGTAGACCTATGTTTGCATATGCATATTAACGGCCATGGCGTCCAATAACAACATGGCCGGCCCGCAGACACTGGTGAAAGAGGCAGTTCTAAGGCACTGGACGCTGGAGGGCCGCTGGTGGTGGGGCTGGCGGGGTTCCTGAGTGCTGCCCCTCCATCCCGATCATCGGGGCACGAGGAGGAGAGAAGATCTTCGAGTGCGGCTGCTTTTTCCTCGCTGCCCTCTGACTACACTCGCCAGCTCTCAACGCCTGTCTACGCCCACACCCTCGCGGGCGCCATTGCTTCCAACAAGCAACCCAAGGCCACCGAGACACTGAACAGCCCAATTGGTTTCTTCTCTAGCACATTGGAGCTAGCTTCGCCCGCAGCCAAGCCATGGAGTCCTTCGTCATCAAGACCCCCTGCTCCAGTGCCAACATTGGCCCGGGCTTCGACGTCATCGGTCTCGCTCTCTCTGTCTATCTCGAGCTCCATGTCACCATCGATCGCTCCAAGACCACTTCCGACCAACCACTCAACTGCCGCATCACATACGAAGGCGAAGGCGAGGGCGAAATCGACCTCGATCCCCAAGTGAACCTCATCACCCGTGTTGCTCTCTATGTCTTGAGGTGCCATGAGCAGAGGTTCTTCCCCTCCGAGACCCATGTTCACATTAAGAACCCTATCCCTCTTGGCCGAGGCCTGGGTAGCTCAGGAGCAGCTGTTGTTGCTGGTGTGATGCTGGGCAAGGAAGTTGGCGGCCTGTCCCATCTGACCGAAGACCGACTTTTCGATTACTGCCTGATGATTGGTGAGCAAGAACAAATGCCGGATAATAGGGCCCAGCATCTGGACTGTTGGTGGTCAAGAGAGATACTAATACAGGATCACAGAACGTCACCCAGACAATGTCGGAGCAGCACTATTTGGTGGATTTGTCGGCACCTACCTGAAGCCTCTCACGCCTGAGGATGTCGCTAGAGTAGAGATTCCTCTGAGCGAGGTCCTGCCTGCCCCTGCTGGTGGTGTTGACACCGGAGAGAGGCCACCCGACCCACCTCACGGCATTGGCCACCACATCAAGTTCCCCTGGACTAAGGAAATCAAGGCCATCGCAATTATTCCCGACTTCACTGTTGCTACTCACAAGGCGCGCGAAGTTCTCCCTGCGGCGTATTCTAGACCTGATGTGGTGAGTAAACCCAGCTCTGAAAGCGATCCTTGGCCGTCTCCGCTTCTTGATATGTTATTGATGCGTTCCCCAGGTCTTCAACTTGCAACGAATTGCACTTCTTCCCGTTGCTTTGGGTCAGTCCCCCCCTGATCCCGAACTGATTCACCTGGCCATGCAGGACAAGGTACATCAGCCTTACCGCCAAACTTTGATCCCCGGCCTCAACGAGATTGTGGAATCAATGTCCCCCAAGACCGACGATGGCTTCCTCGGAGTGTGTCTTTCAGGAGCCGGCCCAACCATCTTGGCGCTTGCCACACACAACTTCGAGGGGATTGCCGGTAAGATTGTCGACAAGCTGAGACAATTCAACGAAGACAAGAACCTCAAGTGCACCTGGAAGGTCTTGGAACCTGCTGAGGGCACCAAGGTGATTCGATGAAAAAATCCACATAAAAGGGGTGTAGTATAGGACGACTCTGATAAAATACCAAGACAATTCTTCTCGTGGCACTTGTCTCAGGATGATGGCATTGGAAACGATTGCTAGGAGATGTATACGCGTGACAGCACTTACAGATACCCTTTTGGAGATTTAACCCGAGATAGAAACTAAAATAAATGTATTTAAATGATCAGGGATAGAACAAGCCCATAACTCAGCTCAATGGCTATGCTAGGACATGTTGGCGGATGAGAACATTGGCAACTACGAGTAGGCCAGACGCACGTGAAGCTGATAGCTTTCCCATCTTTCATAGCGATATAATCTGATGATGGCCTTGGGAAAGTAGCGCTAGGTGGGTTTCTCAATGATCCTGAATTGGATAGGTAGGGTCGAGTAAAACAAGGTATGCCGCTAGCTCTCCTACCCCAACAAGCAACTGGTGGGCTTGCCCTTGGGAAAGGATGAGTTGAACCTCGGCTGTGAGAGGAATTGAGTTTGTGTTCCTCATCCTCACGTGGCGATCGACAGGGGCCTTCTTGTCACTTCAACAAGGCTGAGGTGGTAAGGGAAGAGAATGTTGGGAGGGATCGTGGAGCTGGTGGAACTTCCCCAGCGTCGAATTGCCCTTTTAGGCACTGGCCATTCACAAGCCCAGATCTTGCCTCGGTTTGCCGTTTATTAGCTGGTCCCTGGCTCGGCCCATGCTGTAATCCCACTGCAAAAGCTGAATCCTTAGATCGCTAGCGTCAAATTCACCATACCCAGGCTCCACTTGCCAGCTCCTGCATATCCTCCTAATTAGCATCTATCTATCTCTCCGTCCGTTATCTTGCCATCCCTCCCTCCCTCGCTCATGTCCATCTCCCAGAACATTTGTTCCGTGAGCACGCTTCTCTGTTTCGTCCGCAACGTCCCGCTGTGGATTATCGCCATCCTCGGGCTCATCCTTCTGTCTCTCGGGACGTCAATCAGGCGAACAGTAGCGCACGGGAGGGAGAAGAAGGCTAACTGATCATCGATTGCGCGACTGACCGCTTATATACACAATGGCCTCGGCGTCGAGCAGGGTGGACGCCTTTGCGCTCATCGCGCCCGTCTTCATCCCCGCGACGCTCGGCGGTGCCGGATACGCAGCATGGAAGCTTGACTGGAAGGTCATGATCAAGTCCTTCCTCACCGGGCCAGGACGCAACTCGCGCATCGCGCTGCTCCTGTTCATGTTCTTCAATTGGAAGAACCTGCCCTTTGCGTGGACGGTATGATGCCATCCTGCCCACCGGCAACTCCGGCTTGAAGAAAAGGGTCAAGGAACAAGTGGTACTGACGATGGCTTCCTAGTATCGAGTCTTCTACTCAATCATCCACCACCACATCGTGCGCAAGTCGCCGCAGCTCGGGCCCCGGGCCCTCTTCAAGCCCATGATCTCCAAGACGTGGGCTCCCGTCCTCGAGATCGACTACAACCTCCACAAGTCCAACTCGACCTTCTTCAGCGACCTCGACGTCTCCCGAACCCACCTCGTCTCCTACCTCCTCCGCCCGACCATGCGCGCCCTCACCCACAACACCAAGAGCAAGCTGGTCCTCGACCCGGCCTCGGGCGCCCCCATGAAGGGTCCCCTAGGCATCCTCCTCGGCGCTGTCACCTGCAGCTTCAAGAAGGAGGTCGCGCCATACAAAACGTACGAGCTCTGGAGCCGTGTCCTCTGCTGGGACCGCAAGTGGCTCTTCGTCATCACCCACTTCGTCCCCAAGGGCACCGCCAAGCCCACCGAGTGGCTCGACCCCAAGTACGGCAAGGTGCAGACCCGGTCCGCCCAGGACGCCGCGGGCGGCTGGGAGCGCAAGATCATCGCCACCGCCATCAGCAAGTACGTCTTCAAGGTCGGCCGCCTCACCGTGCACCCCGCCCTCATCCTGGAGCACTCGAACATGCTCCCGGAACGCCCGGGAGGCTGGCAGGGCGGAGAGAATGGCGTCGGGGACGAGTCTGCCGACGTTAGCGATATTGACCTGAG